GAAGAGGTGCCAGAATAGTCTGGGGCTTCCTTCCCTCACAAATACTACATTAATAAAAGGCAAAGTTAATGCTTGCTGTATATGAGGGGCTGGATTTTGTCAAACGCATCAGAAGAAGAAGAAGAGGAGGAGGAGGAGGTGGAAGAGGAAGAGGAAGAAGAAGAAGAGGAGGAAGAGGAGGAGATTGGGTTTATACCCCGCCCTTCACTTGGCGTCTCAGAGCAGCTTACAAATTCCTTTCCCTTCCCCTCCCCACAACAAACACCCTGTGAGGTGGGTGGGGATGAGAGAGCTCTGACACAAACTGCTCTTTTCCAAGGACAGCTGTGCCAGAGCTTGTGACTGACCCAAAGTCACATCAGCAGGTGCAGGTGGAGGAGTGGGGATTCAAACCCGGTTCTCCCAGATTAGAGTCCGCACACTTAACCACTACACCAAACAAGAAGAGGAAGAGGAGGAGGAGAAGGAGGAGATTGGATTTATGCCCCGCCCTTCACTTGGAGTCCCAGAGCGGCTTACAAACTCCTCTCCCTTCCCCTCCCCACAACAGATACCCTGTGAGGTGGGTGGGGCTGAGAGAACTCTGACACAAACGGCTCTTTCAGGAACAGCTGTGCCAGATGTTCATCAGATGTTCGTCATGGGTCAAACAGAAAGCTACATTGTCCTATAGATGGCAAAAGGTATTTAAAATCTGGATTTTCTTTTGGTCAGTGTTGTTCTGGGCTAACCACCCTCTTTATGGGTCTTGACAGAGCAACTGGGACATATGCTCTATAGAACTACAGTGCACTCCATTTAGGTATTCGATTAATTCGATTAATTCTGTATGCTGCACACTAGACTGTTGAGAGTTTCTGCATTGTGGTTTTCAGGGCTCAATCAATAGTTTCTAAGGTAAAATCACGGTCTTGGTTGTTTCTCTCCGTGAGGTCTCTCTTGTCAGTCTCAGTCCAACCCATTGAACATTAGTGGGGGTTCCCGGCAATTTCCTGGACCTTGAAATCTCCCAACAGTTTTGCAAGCATTGCCTTCAAGGACTTGATAAACCTCGGGCTCATCTCAGTTCTCAACAGAGCCTCTTGCCCAAAGCTGAGATTTCTTTTCCCAGGTGAAGTCGGGAGGGCCACTCATTGCTACAACTGTTTACGCGCTCGCTAAACAATACGTGTGATGTGAGCCAAGTCTGGGGTCTATTGCCTTGCAGAGGCTTGAGTGCTGCAAGAGGCGAGGAGGGACTTCAGACTTCCCACCCGCCAGGGCTATTTTTGGGCAGGAACGCACAGGAATGGAGTTCCAGCTGGCTCCTGAGTTGGCCACGCCCAGCAGGAACTCATTAGCATAATAGGCCACACCCAACAGCAGGGACTCATTAGGATTGGCTATGTTAGGGGTGTGTGGCCTAACATGCAAAGGAGTTCCTGCTACAAGAAAAGCCCTGGGTTTTGACAACAAACAAGGTAAACAGAATAAGAAGCAAAAGGTGGGTGTGGCTGGATGACCACACTTCTGGTAACATGGGGGTGCGGCCTAATATGCTAATGAGCTGTGCTGTCAGGGGTGTGGCCCAATATGCTTATGCGTTTCTGCTGCTGGGTGTGGTCTATTATGCTAATTAGTTCCTGCTGGACTTTTTCTACAAAAAGAGCCCTGCCTCCTGCACCGTTTTCCCAAATGGAAACAGCTTCGGGGGTGGTCCTATTTGCCCCTTTCTCGGGCTCCATGTGTCTGGGGATCATGTGAGTCTCTCACAGCGTGCACAATCCTCCAAGAGCAATTGGCACTTTGGCCAATGAGTTCCCCGATGGTATGCGTGACTGAGAGCTGGGTCAGGGGACCCTCCCACTCAGCTTGTATCATGTGTATCATCTAGCTAGGCCCTCGGTATACTGTGCCCATGAATACGCAGCAAGAACAGCACTACCTTCCAGCGCGCTGGTAATGATGCTGACCGCGCTCGCTGCCCTTTCTCTTTGGAGCGGCTGATTGTAATGGTCCGCTGAGAGACGCTGGGACTGAAGTATCTTGTTGGCTTCATCGTATGAAGGAGTCTGCTGACAGAGGTAAACAATATAGGAATTTGTTTGTTTGTTTTATTATATTTCTATCCTGCCCTCCCCGCGAACGGGCTCAGGGCGGCTCACAGTTTAGGGCACCATGTGCCAAATATAAAAGCATGTAAAAACACATAAACAAAATAAAACAACCATATTTTACAATTAAAGGGCTCCGCGATGTTAGTCCTTCAATCAGATTTAGATAGCATAGTGTGGATGTAATACAAAGTCCCGGTTCAGCGGTAATCGATCTGTCATGATGCTGTGGCTCGATCGTCATAGGGCCGGCCCACTACCCCATTGTTAATAACGATATAATTGGTGGTGGTGGTAGTGGCAGCTCCTAATTAAAAGTCTGGCGGAAGAGCTCCGTCTTACAGGCCCTGCGGAAGGCCCCCACGCTTTCCCTTTTGACAGGCACGGCTGCTAACGTGACTGTGAATGCTGCAGGCAAATCAAACGCTGATTCTCAAAGCTTCCTAAAACATTTAATTAAGGGTTTTATTCTATCATCTTTTTAAATATTTGCTCCGTTTTATGGATAGGGTATGAGTTTTCATGAGTCACGGCTCACTTCTTCAGATACTGCTAGAATGAGAGTCCACCTATCCTTATATCTCAGAGATTGGAGTGATTTCAGATGCCGAATGGCAATAGCAGGCGAATGGCGGGGGCAGGTGAATTAAAATAGCAGGCGTAATTGGATTAGGTGTGATAGGCAGAGGGGTAGAAGGCGTGGAGAAATCAGCATTGGTGATGAGACAGGAAAGAATAATTAATAGTTACCATACAGCACTGTGTAGTATAGCCAGGAGATCCTAAGATTGTCTGGCAGCCAGAAGTTCTAGCTCGTTTAACATTATACACAACTAGGTTGCAAGCTAGATTTGTTTTTAAGGCAAGAGACAATTCAGAGGTGGTTTGCCATTGCCTCCTCCTCGTCACACTCCTAGTATTTCTAGGAGGTCACCCACCCAAATACTAGCCAGGGCCAACCCTGCTTAAGCTGAGATCTGACAAGATTGAACTAGCCTGGGGCTATACAGGTCAGAGTAAGATTCACTCCAGGAAGCTGCATTGTCTTGAGCTTCATTAACAGTTCCAATTCATCAGTCTCTCTTTCTAATCTCCCTTTGAAATTCCTTTATAAGAGAATGGAATGGAAAGACGGATTTCCGTTCTGGCTTCATCTGAAGAAGTGAGCTGTGACTCATGAAAGCTCAGGCCCTGCCACAAATTTTGTTAGTCTTTAAGGTGCTCCTGGACTCTGGCTTTTTTCTACTGTTATGGATAACTTTTTTAAATGCTGCCTATGTCTAACTCAGGGGTGTCAAACATGCGGCCCGGGGGCCAGGTCAGGCCCCCAAAAGGCTTCTATCAGGCCCACGGTGGAACTGGCTGTCTTCTGCTTCTTCTTCCAGTTCTTCTGCAGCTGCGCCATTGTAGGTTTGCAGCTTAGAGACACACCACCTGAACAGCATACTCAAGATTGCAACAGCACAGGCATTTTGATGCAATCATTCAGAGCAAGAGGTGTCAGTTATCAGACACCATTAAATAAACAAAATATTGCAAGAGTGCTAATGTTTTAAGCATGTTTTTATTTTAAGTAAAAAAACCCACCTTTGTGTTTGTGTCCTTTATAAAGTTTGTATCTCCGCTACCTGGCATTACATTTTATGACACACATGGCCCGGCCCAACAAGGTCTCATTTATGTCAGATCCGGCCCACATAACAAATGAGTTCGACACCCCTGGTCTAACATGTAGCCTGGATAGTTCCAGTAGCTGGAATTTATCAGTGTGGAAACTAAGCAGGGATGTGAGTAGGGCTGCCAGGTCCCAAACAGGCTAATTTATTTCAGTTCTACATTTCCAACAACTGTATACAGGAAAAATGGATTCCTACAATCAACGGTGCCAAGAGAACATGTCCTCTGCGGAGCCTCACATCTGGATGCTTACATTTTCTACTCACCAGATCACCTCTGCGATGGCTTCCCCTCCCTGGAGGAAGCAACATCCCTTCACCGGCAATGGGGTCCGTGCTAAACGACCTCGTGCCGCCGCCTCCCATTGAGGAGACCATCCCGTTGCAATCGTCTCCCGGGGCCCACCTGCCAGGCTGCATGTAGTTTGGCGTCGCAGGATGAGGGCCGTAGCTGACTTGACTCTGGATGCTGGACCGCCTTCCCATCCGGGCAGCCAGCAACGAACCGCGCTGGATCTCGGACTCTCCCGCACTGCTAGATTCATCCTCCCCTCCGTCAGGCCTTGAGCCAACCTCCCGTCCGGAGATGTGGAAGCTGAACACACTTCCATGACTGGGACGGCGCTTCATCGGGTTCGAACTGGGACCGTAATTGTGGCTAAAGAGAGCCTATAGGAGTCAAAAAAGGGCAAATGAGGAAAAGATTGATGAATTATGAATTTAGGCAAATCATGAGAGAGAGGGCAGGAAGGGTCACATCAGTGCTTAGTTCTTGTGGCCATTTTCAGAGAAAAATACCCTGGGATTCAATATAGCTAAAAGAACTGGTAGTCCATGTAATTTTCTTTGAAATCAGTTTCCATTAGTCAGCCGCTTAATCAGAAGAAGAGAAACTGAAGCGTCCATATACCTGGGAAAGCTATAGGAGATTTTTTCACTGGTTTCACTGGTCCTCTGCTTTATTTATGACTGTTGGAGGTCTTTGGACACTTTTATTGCATTTAAGCGAGGAGAATCAACCAGTTGGATTTATGTGCATACCTTCTTATCAGCCCCTGTGAGCGCAATTACTGTGATGTTTATTTGGATCTCAGTGTTGATGTATGATATGCCATGAGCGCATAGGGTTATATTTGGGAATATTGTATTTGTTTTGGGTTGTGGACCACCAACTCATTATAGATTTGTAATTTAGGCACTTATTCAGTATATCGGATACCCAGACATTTCAAGTGTATATAATCTTTGATGGTCTTCCCTTGGCATTTTTCTGCTGTTTTTTACAATTACACACCAGGGATCCCTGTTTTGTCTGCTACTCAGCCTCCTGGTGATGGCTGGGATTCCAACTGATCTCCAGGCAATAGAGATCAGTTCGCCTGGAGAAAATGGCTGCTTAGGAAGGTGGGACTCTGTGGACTTATACCCCATTGAAGTCCCTCCCCTCCCCAAACCCTGCCCTCCTCAGGCTCCACCCCCCCAAATCTCCATGGATTTTCCAACCTGGATTTGAGAACCTTACCTATCCAGAAGCCCACAGTAACTCTGTGCTTGTTCCCATACAAACCTGCTTGCCTTCTAAAACCATCATGGGAAGTCTTGCTTTTCATACCACCTTTATCTGACATTTGGTTGGTGGTGGTACATGACAGGGCCTTCTCCGAGGTGGTGCCTCATTTGTGGAGCCCACTACGTTCAGCCATTGGAATCTTCTCAATGAATAATAGAAATGCTTTAATTCCACTTGGCCTTTTGGTATAAGCTGGCTGTGGCCAGGATGTGGACTATCGATTTTATTCTATGCTACAGAAGTATTTATTTATTTATTTTCATTTATATCTCACCCTCCCCGCGTGCGGGCTCAGGGCGGCTTACAAAACGTAGAGGTGTAATCCAGACCACAAGTTAAAACAATTAAGGCACGCAGTGCAATAAAATACAGTTAAAACAGTTTAAACACAGTGGAAAACTCCCAGGATCCATCGCGACTAACATGCTCACTCCCTATTGCACATCACCTTGGGGTCAATGAGGGGGATGCCGTGGGCCACGATGTTTAGGTGGCCACTCAGCCCAGCCTGGCGGTACTGCTCCGCAGTCGCCCGTTGATGGTAGTGGCTGTGGCGGCTCCTATTCAAAAGCCTGGCGGAAGAGCTCCGTCTTACAGGCCCTGCGAAACTGTAACAGGTCCCGCAGGGCCCTGATCTCCTCCGGGAGCTCATTTGATGACCAATTGTCATTTTAGGTAGCATTTGTTTTAACCTGCTTTACGTTCCTGGCTCCAGTAAGAACACCATATAAAAACTCTACATTAAAATAAAGCACATGGTTCACAAATTAGGCTTGTGTTTAGCTTTGTATTCTAACCCTCTCGAAATCACTGAAATAAAAAAATTCCCTGTTGATTTTCTAAAAACATTCTGGCAGACATGTTAATTTCACAAAGCTGAAATAGTTCTCAGTTTAAACACCATTTTTAATTCTTTTCTGCTCTTTAGATCCTTTGTCACAGGAGTTAAATTATATCAAAAGTTTATAACGTAACGGTTTGGGTAATCAGGGCTTTAAACCACGAGTTACCGATTTGCGATGGCTTTCAATAGACTGCGACTTAGGGATTTTTAGATCTTCTCCATAATCCTCCATCCCTAGAGACAACTTTTTCTTTATTCTGTTGCTTCTTTCTTTAACCTCCTTGGATGCTACAGGCGATGCTTCCAATGAACTATGAGATATGCTGTCCTCTTCTTTAGCGGTTAACTCCTAGAATGCAGAAACACAGAATTAAGAACTGGACATCGCTTTACTAGGAACCAAACTATTACTATGCAGTAGAATGACTTTCCAAGAGCAGAGCTGTCTGCTCACCATAGCTATCAAAATGATTCACAAATTAATTTTGCTTTTGGGTTTCATCATTATTTTAACAGTCTCGAGAAGGTCTGGCAATAGATTTACTATGTCTGATGAGGAGCAGCTGATTTTCAACCATGAGTTTTTATATTCTGGATGTGTGAGAACTGGGCCAGTCTCCTATCCAGGCATAATAACTCAATGGCACACCTTTGTTTTGCCTATAATAGGTCCTGGTTTCAATCCTTCTCATCCCAAAGGGCTTTGAGAAAACTTAAGAACATAACAAGAGCCCTGATGTATACAAGGCACATAATTTTTTTCCAGAATTACAATTAAAGGCAACTTTTACACATACCTAGGGGGGAAAGGTTTACTTTTTAGAATGCCCCAAAGTAAAAAAAACACACAAAACAACTCGGAGAAAAGATGACATGCTATATACCCCGATCTGGTCAGATCTTAGTAGCTAAGCAGGTTTGGTATTTGGATGGGAGACCACCAAGGAAGACTCTGCAGAGGAAGGCAATGTCAAACCCCCTCTGCTTCTCACTTGCCTTGAAAGCCCCTTGCTGGGGTCACCATAAGTCTTGGATGGGAGACCACCAAGGAAGGCTCTGCAGAGGAAGGCAATTGCCAACCTCCTCTGCTTCTCCCTTGCCTTGAGAGGCCCCTTGCTGGGGTCACCATAAGTCTTGGATGGGAGACCACCAAGGAAGACTCTGCAGAGGAAGACAATGGCAAACCACCTCTGCTTTTCACCTCCCTCGAAAGCCCCTTGCTGGGGTCACCATAAGTCTTGGAAGGGGGACCACCAAGGAAAGCTCTGCAAAGGAAGGCAGTGGCACCTCTGCCTCTCACTTGCCTTGAAAGCCCCATGCTAGTGTCGCCATAAGTCTTGGAAGAGAGACCACCATTGAAGATTCTGCAGAGGAAAGTAATGGCCAACCACCTCTGCTTCTCACTTGCCTCGAAAGTCCCTTCCTGGGGTTGCCATAACTTGGCTGCCACTTGACGCACTTACACAGAGTAAGAACTACCCTCCCCTGGAGAGGCCCATCCCAGGGGTGACCTGGGCCCAGTTCCCCTAATGGCATGTTTTTCTTCACTGGATGACTGAATGTCCCGTGGCTGATGCAAAAGCATAACAGAATGACCTGGTAGCAGCAGAGGCTGATTGGAAAGAGCCGTAACTCAGGGACACAAGGGGCCAGCTCCTCTATGGGCGGCCATTTTAGGGTCATAGAACAGAATAATTTTCTTAATTAACCTATTTCTCTTGGCACATAAGTTTGGCATCTCCCGCTACAGGCAACGTCTGTGGGGAAACGGAGATTAGCAAAGGGATCAGTATGGACCTCATGCTCTCTCTTCAGCAGCTCCATGGCTTCCCGGAATTTCCTCTCTTTCGCCTCCGTTTCGGCAATAGTGGCCTTGCTCTGCTCCTCGTAGGCCATCGTGACCACCGCTAGGATCAAGTTGACCAGATAAAAGGATCCCAGGAAGATGACAAGCACAAAGAACAGCATGTAGATCTTCCCAGCAGCTCTGAGAGTCTGAAGACAGAAAGAAAACATCAGTAAGCCTTGTTTTAAGGTATCGATCAAACAGTTCCCACCCATTTCCATTAAGGTGTAAGGGAAATACAGTCAAAAGCAGACAGAAGCATGAGCTGCTGAGTAAAACCAAGAGCCACACTAATTCGGTAAGTAAAATCAATAGGCCAGTATCAATTCACAAAATTTGGCTATATAGTTGCCATCAGTGAGTTATTTTCTCACCCTGACCTGGGTAGCCCAAGAAAGCCCGATCTCATCAGATCTTGAAAAGCTAAGCAGGGTCGACTCTGGCAAGTACTTGGAGGGGAGACCTCCTTGAAATGCAGAAGCGGAAGGCAGGGGCAGGCTTTATTCAGTCATCTCTCTGAATATCCTCCAGGCTCCCAGTCGGGTTCAGTCACCAGAGGTCGCCATGCCTTCCAGGTGCACTCACACACACACACACACATAAAAATACAAAAAAATATATTTATTTCCTTCTAATTGCTTAAATTATGATGGGCATACAGCAATGTAATATCAAATCAACCACTAGAGGGAGCAAAGCAAGTGCAGAAAAGCAAAAAAACCCAAAAACCCTGCAAAGCAATAGAGACACACAAGCAAGGATAATGAGAATGCAGAAGAGCCCATTCTGCCAACACAGAGGACAACACACCCCACGAGGGCATACCTGCCAGCATGCAGGAGGATCAATATGGCTTCAGAAGCCCTGTCCCCCTCCCCCCACACACACACACATGCACACACGCTGGCACACACATTCTGGGCCACACCTTTCCCATCCTGACCAGTGTAACTTACATTACAGTCTCATACAGGGTAAGCCCACTGCAGTCGATGACCATTGACCAGATGACCTGCATAGGACTGCAGTGTTAGTTACTCAGGCTCAGAGCTGGTCTGCAGAGAGACGGACTGTGCCCAGAGCAAGCACACTGATCATCTATCCAATAATGATGCAGTTCAAATGATCTGTAGGAGGGGCACCCTGCAGGGTTGCCAACTCTGGGCTGGGAAATACCTGGAGATTTGGGAGGTGGAGCCTGGAGAGGGTAAGGTTTGGGAAGGGGAGGGGCCTCAACATTGTACAATGCCACGGAGTCCACCTATTAAAGCAGCCATTTTCTCCAGGGGAACTGATTTCGGTAGTCTGGAAATCAATTTTAAAAGCGGGAGATCTCCAGGCCCCACCTGGAGGCTGGAAACCCTAGCACCCAGGGTTAAAGTACCTTTTTTTCCCCTGCAGACCTGGGGTGATCGCCAGGTTTGCAGAATACTGTGAGAACATCTTCCCCCGAAATAAGGATTTCAAATCCCCTTCCCACAAAGGAGGGTTTCAGGAAGAAGAAAAATTGGCAGTCAGTGTCTCGTATTGCAACCCGCAATGCCACACAAAAATGTTTTTAATTTTTTTTTTAAGGAAAATGGCTGGTTGGACAGATTGGGAGGGAGAGAGGGTTATTTGCACCGGTTGGGAGGAAGGAGGACATGAATTGTTGGCTAGTCTGGAGAGCTGGGAAGAAGAAGAAGAGAAGAAAAGATTGGATTTATACCCCGCCCTTCACTACACAAAGGTGTCTCAGAGCGGCTTACAAACTCCTTTCCCTTCCCCTCCCCACAACGGACACCCTGTGAGGTAGGTGGGGCCGAGAGAGCTCTGACAGAAACTGCTCTTTTTCAAGAACAGGTCTTATCAGAACTTAGGCTTGCCCAAGGTCATCCAGCCAGGTGCACGTGGAGGAGTGGGGAATCAAACCCGGTTCTCCCAGGTTAGAGTCCACACACTTAACCACCGCACCAAACTGGCTCTCAAGAAACAAGGGGACCGGGCACATGAGGGGGAAGCAGGCAGAACAAAACGGGAGGAAGGAAAGACCAATGGGTGGGAAATGGGGAACAGTATTTCCTCATCCCTGCGAGTCCCTGCAATTTCCCTTCCTCTTATGTGTATAATACTTAGATTACTGGTAGCCATTAATGGCAAGGAAGTCCCCCAGCCCTAGGGGTGCCAAGCTTCCAGGTGGGGCTCAGGAATGGCAAGTGACCTCCAGCCTACAGAGCTCAGTTCCCTGGGAGAAAAGGGCTGCTTTGTGTTGGAAATACGTGAGTTGCAAGGTCTAAATTCCAGTAATTATAGGGTTAATCTGTATACCTTGGGAGTTGGAAGGAAATCTGGCACAGAGCCAATGCAATCAAAGCCCGGGAAACTGAAGTTTGTTTACAAACATCATTGGTTAATGTAATCAGGTGATTTCCTTCTAGGGGTCAAGGAGAAAGAGAATCTCCATTACAGTGGTTGTCGAGAGACCCTGTGGTCGGTCTGTTGTCGCTCTGAAGATGTAACCTTACTCTTTGTTATTCCATAGGTTTCCTGAGTAACCTACCCTTAGAAATAAAGATTCTTAAACAGAAAGAAATGCCGCCTCTCCAGTGAAGCAAAGATCCATTGCAAACCTTCACGTATTTAAGTATTTTTGCCTATTTTTCCAACATATCCAAGGGTGGAGCCTATAGCACTATACCCCAGTGCGGTCCCTTCCTTCCCCAAACCCCACCCTCCCCAGGCTTTACCTCCTAAATCTCCGGGAATTTCCCAACCCAGAGATGACAACCCCAAAACTACACGACTTCAGGGCCAGTTATTCCCTCTCATTTGGACTTATGTCACCAGACTCTAGTGAGGAGAAAATGGGAAGGGGAGAACCGTGTATGATGCTCTGAGTTCCTTGGGGAAGGGTGGGAGAAAAGTGTAACGTACAGAGACAAAATCCATGACGCTTGTACCTGTTGATAGAGGCGTTCCCAGTAATCCTGTGTCATGAGGCGGAACAGCGAGAGAAAGGCCCAGCCAAATGCATCAAAACTCGTGAAGCCTTCGTCGGGATTCTCTCCAGTCTTCAGGCATACGTATTTATCCGGACAGGAGCTACAAAGTAGACCTTACGTTTGAGTAATTTTAATTACAGGTTGCGCCCTCCAACTACAACCCTCCTTGTTCCTTTTGAATCATTGGATCCATCCTGCCCCCAATGGGCTTATGAAAGAGTTGATAGAATTGTGTCTTGCGGCCGCTAGGAATGTTATTGCATTTCATTGGAAATCTAAGAAGACGCTGCTATTGAGCGACTGGTATCTGAAATTGTGGGACTTCTTTTTACAGGACAAAGTTTCCACTAGCATCCTACGATCTGAAAATCAACCCGTTCCTGACAATCTTCAAGAAAAATGGATGCCCCTCTTAGAAGCATCAGCAGCACATAAAATCGACACCTCCCTGTTTGCCCTGCATAAACACCAGGATTTGCTTTCCTATTTTTAACTGTCTTTTTATATTTAATAAAAAAAAAATAAGAATAAAAGTTTGAGTAACAAGAATTTCCCACCATTTAAATGAAAGTTGAAAGCACGCCAAGCTAAGGAAAGGTTTGCCAAAGATGTGGAGATTTTTCTTTTCCTTTTTTCTGGCATCTGGGACATGCTTAACTCTCAGTTGTCCTAACTAGAGAATGGTAAACCAGAATCACACCACACGGGGGCGCACTAGGAATGCTCCTCTCAGACAAGCGAGGCGCTTTGAAAATGTCAAAAATATGAAGGTAAGAATTCCGTTTATAGGGACGGGGAACACGACAATCCCTTGCTTCTGTTTACATTGCTATTACATGAAATTAGACCGCACTGAAACCTAACGGTAACCATGGTACTTGATCAAAATCCACATCCTCAGCACTTTTTTAAACAGAGAAAATGAAGCACACTTACCCACTGTCCGTCCCATTGTGGCACAATAAAAAGTCAGTGGTGTGGTTTTTGATTTTGTAATTCGCTGCAATAAAAGTGACCTGGGTAAATACAGGCAGGATTGCCGACCAGATAGCGATGTCAAAACCGTATTACGTTTGGATGCGCAGTACTGAAAAAGTACTAACCCCCTGGCTCTGCCACTGAATTTTGACAGGTTCATGAGAAGCCAATGTTGGATCCAGTCCAACAGTCTAAGTCACACGGTGGCCAGAAATACCCGGTGCCATCAGGAGGTCCACCAGTGGGGCCAGGAGGACACGAAGCCCCCCCCTGCCCCCCCCCAAGCACCAAGAATACAGAGCATCACTGCCCCAGACAGAGTGTTCCATCTATAGGTAAAAGTAAAGGTTCCCTTGCTCGAAAGCCAGTCGAGTCCGACTCTAGGGTTGCGGTGCTCATCTCCGTTTCAAAGCCGAAGAGCCAGCGCTGTCCGAAGACGTTTCCGTGGTCATGTGGCCGGCATGACTGAACACCAAGGCGCACGGAACGCTGTGACCTTCCCACCGAAGTGGTACCTATTTCTCTACTTGCAATTTCTTGCTTTCGAACTGCTAGGTTGGCAGGAGGTGGAACTAGAGACGGGAGCTCACTCCATCATGCGGCAACTCGGGTCTCGAACTGCTGAACTACCGACCTTCCACAGCCTGCAGTTCAGCATCTTAACCTCTTGAGCCACTGCAGCTCCCCTATTCCCATCTATACTTTGTGGCTAATAGCCACTGATGGACTTCTGCTCCATATGTTTATCCAGTTTCCTCTTGCTTCCTCCTGGCTGTACCCCTGAACTGCTGGATTCCCCCCTGTTCTCCTCCCCCTCCTCTACCCCCTCCTTTCTGGTGCCTCATTTTTTGAAATCAAAAGTTAGGACTTAAATGTCTCATTTGGTATATGGAAGGGGCGGCCAAACTGTGGCTCAGGAACCACATGTGGCTCTTTCACACATATTGTGTGGCGCCCGGCAGGGCGGCTGGGGAAGCGAAGGGGAGGCCTGCCTCCTTGATCTGTCTTCCCTTCCCCAGTCAGTGTTTTCCCCCCTGGTAGGCTTGAAGGGGGGGGGGAGCAGAGGAAAAAGAAGAAGAGGAAGAAGAAGAGGAAGAGGAAGAAGAAGAAGAGGAAGAGACACATTTTAGCTCTGTGTGCTGTCAACAAGTTAGAGTAATCTGAGGAAGTTACTCTAGTCCAGGGGTGGCCAAACTGTGGCTCGGGAGCCACGTGTGGCACTTTCACACATATTGTGCAGCTCCTGGCAAGGTGGCTAGGGAAGCGAAGGGGAGCCGTGCCTCCCCGATTGGTCTTCCCTTCCCCAGCCAGTGTTCCCCTCCCTGGGTAGACTTGAGGTGGGGGGGGAGCAGAGAAAGAAAGCAACTTTAACTTTAAATGCATTCTCAAAGCACCTCCCCCCACCCCCGGCCAGCTTGGAGAAAGCATTTGTCTCTTTAAATATCATGATCAGTATCTGTTTTTACCCCCTTTTGTTTCTATTTCTGGCAGGCTTATTTAAGGTTAATAAAAAGCAAATCTGCACATTTCCCAATAAAAACGGGTAATATTTGCCCATGTCTTGCGGCTCTCAGACATCTGATGTTTCTTCTACGTGGCTCTTATGTTAAGCGAGTTTGGCCACCCCTGGTACATGGCTTATGGGCTGTTAAACCTGAATACAGTAAAGTAAACCCTTGTCAGGTAGGTTCAGCTGAGAGGGTGCGACTGGCCTAAAGTCACCCAGCAAACTTTTACAGCTGAGTGGGGATTCGAACTCGGGTTTCCAAGATTCTAAGCTGATACTCTAACCGCTGGACCACACTGGCTGTCTCGACCAGTGGAATACCAGTGCTTTAAATACCACAGTGGTTGAAGTCCCAGGATGAAAAAGAGCTTTTTTTGAGACAGTATCATGAAGGAATGAGTGTTTTGCTTCGGTTATATCATTCCCAGAAGCATCCTTCGGAGCTTAGCGGGATGATTTCAATAATGGAATCTACTGTGGCACATATCCGACAGCAGGGAATGTTATCAAGTCATTCTGGTGAGCACAGACTGATTTCACACAACAGCTGTGCCGTGGTCACGCCTCCCTTTGCCCCGCTTCTATTGGTCAATTTCCCACTCGAAGCTGCACGGCCGTATTTTGACCCGTGGCTTCCCCCGTGGTTTTGTGATCCTCAAGAAACAGGGTCACAAAACCGCAGGGAAAATCAGGCGAAGCCACAGGTCAAAATGCGGCCGTGCGGCTTCGAGTGGGAAATTGACCAAAAGAAGTGGGGCAAAGGGAGGCGCGACCATGGTGCAGCTCTTGTGTGAAATCGGTCGCAGTGTGATGTGGCAGGTCTTTGCGCAGCAGTTGCTAGCGCCTGAAGCCAGCAGGTGCAACGAGCCAATTATTTTGCAAGACATTTAGGAAGATGTTTACCTTCTTGCTTGATGAAGACCTCATACGAAGTCAAATTCCGTTCTCTTACAACGTCGCTGTCACTGGGAAGGTCCGTTATATTGTTTTGAAGGAGATACTCGGTGTAGTTCCGGACGCATTTGTGTCTCAGGTGTCCCTTGAAGAGCTGAAGGCCGATGAGGGCAAAGACGCTCAGACAGAAAACCGTCAGGATCATCACGTCTGCAAGTTTCTTGACTGACTGGATAAGAGCACCGACGATGACCTTCAGGCCTAAAGAGGAAGGGGGGAGGAGAATCAACAGTTGTTGATTTATCAAATCAAAACACCCATCATGGAGCTTTTATTTTGAGACACTCACCAAACTGCATGCAGCCCTGAATTGGCCAGCTGTTCATAATTTTATAGGACTTCTGGGAACCTTATCTTTAAAGAAACCCTAAACAGAAAACCAACATGCAGGCAACACCCAGCTCTGTCTATCTTTAACAGCTAAGCCAGGTAAGTCTGTGGAAGTCCTGAATAAGGGCCTGGGAAAGGTAATGGGAAAGATAAGGGGTGATAAACGGATGTTTAATCTATATAATATTAGACACCTGTGGTCATGAATGCAGATAGCTAAATTTGTAGATTGGGGCCATGTGTAGGCTAAGGTGATCGTTCTGCCCAATCGAGAGTCCTCAGGTGTGCAGAAAGAAGATTGACAAATCATGTGAATGGGAGAAAGGAGTGAAATAGGGAGTAGGTTATCAGAGAAAAGGAAGGTAGATTGACAGAGAAGGGATGGGGGCAACAGAGATGGGGTATGTTGACAGATAAGGGGAAGGAAGGGAAGGGAGCAAAGAAGGGGGAGGGATGCTCCCTCTCCACAAGTTTCTTGCGGGTCCCCACTTGTCTTATATTCTAACAGTAAAGTCAGGATGTCTTTGGATAGTTAAATCTGGTTACTGGAGTTGTGAGTGGGCAAGACAGATCTTTCTACAAAGAGAGCCAGTTTGGTGTAGTGGTTAATTGTGCGGACTCTGATTTGGGAGAAGCGGTTTTGATTCCCCACTCCTCCACATGCACCTGGCTGGATGACCTTGGGCAAGCCCTAGTTCTGATAAGAGCAGTCCTTGGAAAAGAGCAGTTTCTGTCAAGAGCTCTCTCAGCCCCACCGACCTCACAGGGTG